CAGGAGTGAGGATACCCTTTCAATAGTGTGAAATCCACTCACATAAATGACTTCTCAAGATTAGAGCTACATTTTTAGACACTTTTAACTTCAAACATCAAGATGTGCTTAAAGGGCTTTTTGAAATGTACACTTATACTAGCATAGTACATGGTACATAATGATATAGAGGAGAACTCTTAAATACTGTTGTGCAGCTAATTTATATTGTTTTATTTACTGCTATGTAAGGATTGGAAGTCTGAAGCCTTATATAATAGAGTTGAAAGGAGAATTACATCAGATAAGAAAATGCCACTGGATTTGTATTAACCCTAGTAGCAAGAGGGAACCTATGGTAAAATTAGGAGATCTGGATAATATTTTTTTTTTCCAGCACTAAAATTTGATTTGAAAATCTCTCTACAAGTGGTGGAATGTGTTTGGAAGTTGCTGTGTTTTAAATCAGTTTTTCCAGACACACTGTTGGTGCTGCTTGTTTTGGGTAAGAATGGAACCTTCCACGGTGGTGAAGTCCCTTGCTATATAGAATTGTAAGCCAGTGTATGTTTTACTGAACTGCTTTCTCTTAAATAATGTATCAGTCAATAAAAGAGCAGCTTGTTCCATGGATTAGTGAACAGGTTTTTCACAGCTCTGTTTATTGAGGCTGGATTTTGTGGTGTCTAATCTGTGAACAAGTTTATGTATTCCTTTACATCTGTCACTCTGTCTCTTGACTTCTTCCATGTTTTCCCCCCCTTCCATTATGGGGTAAACTCTTCAGTTTTTATTAACTCCTCAGTATATTAACAGCATTTGCCTCTTGTCTGCCCAATATCCCATTTTCATTAAACTTGCAGGGAATCTACTGAGCTACTTCTGGTGAAATAAGTTTTCTGTGCCAACAAATCAGTGGCTCAGTCATTTCTGTGGATCAGGACACATAAATGGACAAGCTTAGAAAGTGGACTTAGGCAATATTTATCAGTAATAGGGCTGGTGTTGTACCTCATAAAGCACAAACTGCACTGCTGATACTGTAAACACCATGAGGGGGAGAACTGTCTGTACAGTGGGTTCTCAAAAGGCTTTTCCATATTCTGGAGCCACTTGCAAATATGGTGAGAATTGCTAATAATGAGAAACTATTTTAGTATGCAGTTAGTAGGTTGATATAATCCACAGTTACTTGTATCATATTTTTTTCTTTTTTCCTGATGCATTCATAAGCACTGTTAACCATTGCTTTTAGGAATATTCTGTGTTGTGATGTCTCCTGTAGGCTGATCATGCATTGCTGCTTTCTAAATGATTTGTAAGCAGAACTGTTGCTGGGAATCAACAAAAGGCCGGAAAAGATGCCATGCTTATTTAATTATCTTTAAACATTAGGGTCTTTTTGGATCTGTGGTTCTAGAAGCAGGATCTAAGCTGTTCAGCTGCAGTGAGAGAATGGTGTAGGAAACCCTTTCTTAGCTGTCTCTGCACTCTCAGTTGCTGTAATCCAGGTGAGACCAAAGTGTGATGTGATTTTCTGCTCTCTGCCCATGAAATGACAGCTTGAATTCAGCCCCGGATGTGTCTCCCATGCACAGAACATCAGAGTAGTGCTGCTTCAGTCACACTTTATTTGCAGCTGGAAAGTGAGGGTGCTGCTGGAACAGCTCCATGCCTCAGTGTGCATGTTCCTGATTTTCTGAGGCTCTGGGGTTAGCAGGTCACCAGTCCAGTGCAGTCCCTGGAAAATAAGGAATGCTGATTACCTGATTGGTTTTGTGCTGTTGGTGCTTACAAGGTGCAAGGATGGTCTCAGCTAAGAAGACACCAGGGGAAAAGGTCTTCAAAGAGTCAGACTTTGCACTCAAGTGGAAGATAACAAATACAGCTTGAGGCCAGTACCTGGTGCATTGCTTCCCTGCATATCACCAGACATTGATGGGCAGCTCTTATGCATTATGCTCTTATGCTGGAGATTAACAGAGGCTGCAGTCTGTTCTCTTTGGTAGGTTTGTTCTGTGTTCAGGTCATTAATATAAGGCCCCAATTAAATGTTCATTCAGGTGCTCAGGTGAGCTAAAACACATTAAAGCCACCTATGAAAGGTAGTGGTCTCTGTTTCTAGTTGCTTCCTTTCTTTTTCCTCAGCAAAGAGTCAAGCTCAGCTTGCTTATTTTGGACCCAATACCTGCTAGTAGGTTTGTGGCCAAAGTCCCACAGTAAAGCTTGTGTGAAATGTGGAGCAGAGACCTGGTCTGTGTTAGCTGTGTGTCAGTGCAAAAGGTAAATGTTTCCTCTGGCACATCTCCGAGATGGTGCAGTTAAAATGGAGAACCAGCTTTGAATTTTCCCCTTAGAGCCAAACTAAGTTCTACAGACTGCTGCAATCTGTCTTTTCACTGCTTCAGCCATATCATCTTTAAAAGACAATTTAATGGTGCCTGGTGGTGTGTAGAGTTTACAAGGCTGATCTGTCCCCAGGTACATGACAGAGCCTTTGATAAAGCAGCAAGTGTCTCATATTAGATTAAATTGAGTCCAGAATGTTTTATGGGGTGATTTAATATACTGAATTGAAACAGTCACATTTTTTAAGGTAACTCTAAAAACTGAGGACTTAAGCAGCCATAAATAACTGAAGGGTTAACAGCGGGCACCAGCATCTGTTTTCAAGGGTTCTGCTGTTTCAGTTTGTTCTGAGATGTTTATGGCTTTGGGAGAGGGACAGTGCAAACATCCGAAATCATAAGGAGCAGATTTTGCTGCTGGATGGTTTTTCAATCTGAAACAATTCATTTGAATAGATGTGCACTGGTTTACCTGATGGAATTAATCTACAGTTTTCTGCCTTGTAAAAAATTATACAGAGCTTTCTTTGGCTTCTTTGTGCTCGGACAATTTATGGCTGGTAAAGTGTTGATGTATTTAGGATGAAAATGGAATCAACAATGCACACTTATTGTTGATATAGTTGTGCTGTCACTGCTGTAAAGTTAAAAAGCAGCAATTATTCCTGAAATCTGAAAGCTGTTTTGTAATTTCACATGTGTGACACAACTCCTTACTAGAGATTGTAGCCATGGTAGCAGTGGTTGCTGCACTTTGTGAATAATAGAAGTGTAGTTAGTTTCTCACACTGAAACTGAGGGATTTAATAGTGATTTTTTTTTAAGTACAAAGTTTTTAGAACTCTCCTTAAAAGGAAAAAAAAAAAAAAAGCATCTGTATTTCCTGTTTTGTGTACTGCTAAATAAACCAGAGATTAATTAAAAGATACTGGATGTAGAGGCAGGAAAAGGCAATTGTTATTTTAAATCCTGCCTGTTACATCATTTAGCTGTGATGTGTCCCTAGTTCTCCCACCCTATTTTTTTGTGCAATCAAATCCTGTCTGAATAATACCAACATGAATTGGAAACAGAAGAAAACAATAATAAATGAACCCACCATTTGGGAAATCTCTATTCCTACATTGCATTTAAAGTCTGTAATATATTTTTAAGCATCTGAGCTAATCACCTTCTCTCACTCTCCTATTTATCTGACTAGAATTCTCTCAAAGAATCTTTTTTTCATCTGTGGATTGTTTGAGTAAGATAGGTAGGATTAAGTGACTCACAGGTTCAACTTGCATCTGCTTATCTGAATTCAGACGAGTGTCAAAATCTTAGCAAATCACAATATTAGATATATTTACTTCCAGAAATGGTAAATAGTAGTTTGCTATTTTTATAATATTGCAAATAGTAGGCTGCTATTTTTATATTTTTGTTCTGTCTTAGCTGTCAAGTAAAGCAGAACTGAACACCAAATGCTTATGAGGCTCAAACTGAATGCCATATATTCATGTGATTTACATACTTGCAAAGCCACAAAGAACTGTGCATAAACATTCCTTAATACCAGCAGCTAGGAGATAAGCTGAAAATTATATACATACACAACAAAAAAGTGAAGATTCTAAAATATATGAGGAGGAGCACAACCGAACTGAGAAGCAGAGGTGTAGTGAAAAGTTCTCAGGTTCCTGTGAAGTCAGAGTTGTGCAGAAGCATCATATACCTGCAGTCATTCTTCAGACCATTTGGAGACATTTGGAAAGTCCTCAGTAGAGCAGCTCAGTGAATAGTAAGATAATCCTTAAATACCTGAATTACTTCTGTCTGGAAAATTAATATAGCTTTGTATCAGTGAGTAGTTTTCAGTCAATTCCAGGCATGCAGAGCATTACACAGAAAGGTCATCTCATTTCATGGGAGTATCTGCCACATTACAGTTCGATTTTGTCCGTTTCAGAATAAAATCCCCTTATTTGTCAGTTCTCTCTAAAAGAAAAAAAAACCTGAGGTTTTCCAGTCAAAAAAGCTGTTGCAGGTTATGGTACTTGAATGCTTTTGTCCTTGACTTTGGGGAAGTTTGCCTGATATTCCAGCCTATGTGTGTGGATTTTTGGAAATTCCAGTTGTCAGTCCCAACTCAAGCTTTGATGTTCTAATGAGACAAAATAAAAGCTGTTTGTCTGACAGGAGGCAGATCCAAACATTTGGGTAGATAGACTGGAGTTTTAAATTTAATTTTATTTTTTTAAATGTTCTAATTTTTTTAAATGTTTTAAATGTAAACTCTTGTTTTCTCTCTTAAATGAAGACTAACTGTGTCCGGAAATCCTGTGGAAAGCTGATGCCAGTGTAGGCAAACATTCAGTATATTCTGTGTCCTTGAACAGGTAAACTAAGCAAGGACATCTTACAGATAATAACATGGAAAATAAGGAAGGTCGACTTGAGATGGTTTAATGATATTATTTTCAAAACTGAGGCATTTTCAGGGTGGTGTTTATATCATGGGAAAACCTGTTAAGGTTCTACAAGCACTGTGGCAGTGCAGCTTGGTACAGAGCAGTCTGTGGTGAGAACATGGTGCATGGGAAATCCTCTATCTCAGCAGCAATTTAAAATCAAAAACAATGATGTGTTCTGAAAATGTTGTTAATGCTCACCTGTGTTGGTTTGTTCCCTCAGCTTTCTCTGCTGGAAGATGCAGGGTTTGGTGGTGTTCTCCTTTACACTGATCCTTGTGACTTGCCAAAGACTGCAGACCTTGCTGATAAAGCTTTTATGGTCTCCTTGAACAGTGGAGGAGATCCATCCACGCCTGGGTATGCCAGTATTGGTAAGTACTGGTCAGGGCTTACTCACTTAGTGTGCATTTTAATTCTCTGTAGATTGTATGGGAGTTAAAACACTAAACCAAATCCCCCTGGAAATAGAGGCTGTGAGTGAGGAAAAGCTGTGTAATGCAGCGTGGCTTAAAGGATGGAATCCAGTCTCAGAAGTGCTTTAAACTCTTGGCACAAAGTCTGCACTCTCAATAGTTTATTGTGCTTTGTATTTGAGTGTTCACACACGGAACCGTTATTACTACCTGCTTATTCTTATCCCATGAACAAAACCCAAAACTCTGAAGTACTGATCCAGTGGTTTTGGAGCATTTTCCACAGGATCTGTCCCCACTGAAAGAATTATTCCCTTCATTCTGTCTTCCTCTTTCATAGTATCAGAAGTGAAAAATTTTAGTCAGTAAGTGCAAGTGAAATGTAATTAGATATTTTTAAAGTACTAAGAAAAAATAATGTTTATAATATCCATATGCCACTGTCACTTGAATAGGATGTGTTCATTTAGTCTTGCCCAGATAGACTTGGTTATTAATTATGCTTCTATAAATACCTGTAAGCAATGTTAACAATAAATAGAAGCACCAGCATATTTGACTTGTATGTGCTGCTTAAGTCTCTATTCTGGCAGTTTAGTGAATGCATGTTACACTTCTCTGCAGCTTTTTCAGCTTTACAGCCCTCTTTACTATCTAACTATTTGGAAATGTATTAAGCAGCAGTCTATGTGACAAGGCTTCATCAAGAATATTTTGTCCGGTTACTGGCTCAGACATCTAAAGTTTGACTTAAATTGGCACTAAATCAACTGAGGCAACGTGGAGATACGTCATGCCTAGAATGGCAGAAAATAGAAATATTTGCCTGGTTGTCAAAGAAGGGTGTTAGCTATTCACAGCATGAGTGCCTTGACAGCTCAGTGGGAAAGAAATTGCACATTTTCTCAGTGTCTCAGTGTACCTGACCCAGTGTTCTTAAAAGTGCCCTGGGAGCTACAGAGGTAAATATAACACTCTTCAAGCTTTATTCTTGCTCATTTCATGGAGCTATTTGAAAAACAGTTTGTGGTGTCTCTGTCTGGCTGACTCCTTAATGTTTTATTTACCCTACATGAAAAGTAAAGCTAATTAAAACAGATACACCAACATGAAGATGCCACTTCAGTGTTTAAACCTTATGTGTTAGTTTTCTGTCAGTAAATGATCTCATCTGCAGTGTGCATTCCAATCCCCAGTTTGGGAAAGAGAAGCTTAATTATAAGGGCAATGGTGTTACAAGTGCATTGATAGTTTCTGGTAGAAGCTTTAGTGTGGCTTGTCTGTGGTTTTACATCTCTGAGCAACTTTCATGAGCAGGAGCAGGTTATCGTATTTAAGATCATTTCTATTTTGATCACTGAATACCACGATGAGCTGGAAAGAGCTCAAAGGAATACTTGGGATACTTGAGAAAACCCTTCTTTTATGGTTTTGTCACTGGAAGGTAGATTGGATGGAAGTAATTCCTGTGTTTCTGATGATGATTTTGCGATTTTGCTTCTCTGGAGACTGTGAATTGACTTGCTTAGAGGTAGCTCCTGCCTGGGACAGACACAAATACATCTGGAGTGCAGGCTTGTCCCTGGGGGATGCTCTTGGATGTACACTAGTTAAACTGCCTGCATGGGGAATAAAAGAGCCAGAGAGCCCGGGCTGCCCCTTTCACTTTGATTCACAGAGTGTAGTAAGCACTACAAGAGATTTTGTTGGAAGCTCCTGCTTAAGTTATTGGCATATCTTTGACACCATCTGCACTTCACACTTTGCCAGAAGAACTGTTACTATCACAATCTCGAGGCTGCTCCTACCAGCATTCTCCCTGGTAAGATGAGTGATCCGAAGCTAGTCTTGTACTTGGTGAATAAAAGGTAGGAAAGTTGGATTTTTTTGTGCTGCTGCCTTCGTTTCTCATGTTCTTTCAGTCTGAAAACAAATTTCTCAGTGGTATCAGAGTACTGGAACACTTCAGTTTTTTCCTAGAAAAAAAATCTTCAGGAAATGGTATAATTTACAGATCTTTTCTCAAAGTTGACAACATTTTAAAATGGGATTTATGTAATAGTTCAGAGAGAATTTTGGAGTTCTCATGAGGCTTCAGCTCACATTTTCTGTTTCATGAAGATTAAATGCTGCAGTTCTGCATATGAATCATCTCGAATGTATAGAAATAGCTTGAGGATGGGTTTGAGATGCCAGCTACCTACGCCTAGAATGATTTTATTGATCTCTGTTTAACAAAGGGGAAAAAGTAATGATGAGAAGGGGAAGTGAACAGCACTTATGTGAAAGTTTCTGCAGCTCTGTTTCATAATTTAATTCTTCTGTTCTTAAGACTCTTCCAATCCTAAGTCATATCTGTCCTGAAACAATCATAGGAGCCTTTGTGAGCATCATTTCTATCTCTTTGATTCTGACAGCCAAAGACTAGTGTCCTTCATTTTTAGAAATCTTTCTTGTGTGTTCCTGCTTTTGAAATGAAATGGATCCAGGGGGTGGAACTCAAGGAAGTAATCACACAGTATTAAGAAGCTTGATGAGGAAATAAGAGACTTGTGTGGCAAAAATTGAAAATAAAGTTTAGAGGAATAGTGTAAAACTTGAGTGCCTTCCCATCTACTTTTCTTTTTCCATTTTGACTTTTTTGACTGCTGAACTTCCTTTCACCCACCTTCGTATGGCAGACACATATTAGATTTCTCCATCACTAGACTTCAGACCTGTTTCAAATCAAATTTGTTTCTCCACAGGAAATGGCTCAGTAAACAAAAATATGGATAGAATCTATTTGTCAATCTTACTATGTAAATAGAAAAGTGGCATTGTGATAAGCACTAAGAACCCTGCCCATGAGATAAGGTGCCTCATAATAGAATCCCTATCTGTGCAGAGGGGGAATAGAAATTATTTCATGAAGAGTTCAGATGGCATCATAGAAAATACTGTGAGCTTAAAAATGCTGAAATGTAACAGCTGTAAAATACAATCTTATGGTATCAGCTGGAGTTTGAAGTGTAATGTTGTTTTAGGGAATTGTTATGCAGAGGCTATAACAGTAAGAAAAAAGGGGGTGTGTGGAAGTCATGCATGGTTCAGGTTATGGTTAATAGCTGGACACATGAGCCATATTACAGGAATTTGAGTGAAAAAATCAGTGACATGGGAAATGCATGGTGTCCCTAGAATTGTGAAGAGTGAACCTTATTCAGACAGAAGAATTGACATGAGCATTCCTCAAACATTGCTAGTAGGATTTGATTTCAGAGGAAGGGACAAGGAAGGCAAGGAATTGTTAAAGGTTTGATCCACTGCAGGCCACAGCTGAGGCCATCAGCAAAGTCAGTGGTGCCTCTGAAAGTGTATTTAAGAAGGGACAAAGTTGCTGGACAGGCAGGGGAGTGAAACTGAGCCTGGAAAAGGGCAGGGTGACAGTGCTGTTCTGTCTGGGCTTATTTCTCGCTCTCCAAATCTATTTTAGCTGGAGATTGCTGGCACTGTTTTGCCCATGATGGTGATTGGTGAGTGATCTCTGTGTTTACCCTGATCAGTGATCTTCTCCATCTGACATTCCTCTCCCCCTGTGCAATAGGGACAATGAGAACGTGGCTGGGTAGGCTCTGGAAGCTGGCCAAGGTTTACCCACCACACTCAGTTTTAAACAAAATTCAAACACCCAAAATGCACCATGAAAACCCAGTGTCATTTACCTCTTTAGAAACGTGTCATTCTTTAGTTGGGCTTAGCCAGTTCTACAGCAGCCACTGGGATGTGCCAGGGCTTGGGCTGTGGGTAGGTGGCTACTTGCTGGGATGGAAGTGTGTGCCTGGGTATTTTTCATTCAGCCCTGTGATTCTGTAGGTTTAGGTGTGCCCTGCCTAATATCTGACTTTGTCCTTTCTGTCCTTCACTCCGTGGTATTTTCCTCCTCTGAAGCCGGCAGCTGAGCAGGAGTTAGCTGGAAAACAGAACGTTGTGTAATGGTTTTAACCATGCATATGCAACATATGTTCTAAAATGGTTTGTTATAAATCATCATGACTTTTTACAAGATGTCCTCAGCCCTGGTTTGTCTGTTCTTTTTGAGAACAAAACACAGTCACAAAAATTTATTTTCTATGCTTGCCTCTGCCACTGTGGAAATGATTCTGGGAAAAATGGTTTTCTTTTCCAAAATTTGTGTTTGCTTTCTGCTAATAACATCTGATAAATGAAATGCAAAGATAATTTGTTGTAAAATTACTATCTACAGTCAGACTTCTGTGCACTGTTGCTTTGATTTTCCTCAAGGACAGACTGAAGCTGAGGAGAAAGAAAAGCTAAAGTTTGATATTACGATTTAGGTGTGTGTGTGTATATGTTTACATGTACTCTCGATCATTTTATTTTGGGCTGTCAACATAATTTCAGTGGTTGCCATAAAAAACCACATAGAGTTTATCAGACTAACTATACTGTGCTATTTTCTGTATGAACAAAAATCAGTGCTAATGCAATAGAGAGGTAAATCCTTGCAAAATACTGGCCTTTGAACAGTGAATGCAATAAGTAATAATTTCAGCAGATTTTAATAATATCTGTAGCACTAATGGTTCAAGAGGTGTCTAAATCCATGATCTGCCTCTTGAGATTTTTCAGGATATAATAAAGCAAGTAAGTTTCTATGTAAGTATCAAATTACATGCTCTGAGATTTTTGGATTTGTGGGTTTTAGTTTTTAGTTCTTCCTCCTGTCTGGCTTTCAGTTCGGTTTGCATGCATTTAAAACTGAGAGAATTAGTTGGACATCGAGGTATTTTAGGCTCACAGGTTTGAGTGTCTGGACCTCTGTATTGCCTATAAGATATCACTTTATCTTTTACTAAACTGCCTATTTTTTTTTTCTTGGAAGCAGATTTTAATTGAAAACATTGTGATTTTATTAATTAGAGTATTAGAAGAGAGGAGAAATCACTGGCAATGGT